CCTCAGAGTGGGGGACTGGGTGGACAGGACCTCTTCCGCTCTCTAGGTCCCCGCCTCCACTCTGCTCGGTGCCCCAAGGGTGACGGTCCTGAGCTTGTTGGGTTCAGCCAGTGGGATGCCCCAGCGGGAGATCAGAAGGGCTGAGTGGGACCCCAGAGCCTCCTAAGGCCAGAGCTTCTCTGGACGGAGCAGTTAACAAGGAGCAAAGCACCGCCCCACCCAAAGGCCCCCTACCCCCTCGTGGCAGGCTGTGAGGGTGTCACTTGTTTCATCTTGCCCCCCACCCCCACCCACCACTAACACTGATAACATGAGGGACCTGTCCGCTCTCTCCCCTCCCTCCCGGCCTCCTGCCGGGCAGGGGGAGCCCAGGACCGGGGCACCACTGCTGCCAACAAGGGCCTCCTGTCACTCACACCCAGGACGCTCTCCGAGCCTCATGATTTATGGACTTTAATTTTCCGGGAGCCTCAGTCGTGTCCCTTACTTCCCTCTGGTCTGTCAGGGTGTTTATCTCGCACCCCTCAGCCCGGCCCCCTCCCCTGTTTTTTAATTTGAAGCATCCGTCTGGAGCATCCTGAGACAGGGCGTCTGAGGCCCTGAATGCATTAGGCCGCTGACAGCTCTATTGATTTCCTCTCTCCCGCCGCATAATGCAAGATATGTACAAGCTGATAGGCTGGCCCCTGTCCCTTACTTTGAGGGACTGTGCCCTTTTCCTTTCTCGAACGTCCTCTCACCCTGGCACACCATTGACAGAGAGGAGGGGTGTTGTCCCTGACACAGGAAGGCTGCTATTCTCGCTGCCCGCCCTGTGCGGTTCTCCTCACTGCAAGGGGCAAGGGAGGGGGACCCATCTCATCAGGAGCAGCGTGGGCACCCTGGCAGCGGCTGATGGGATGAAAGGGGCCATGGAGGGAAGCAGGGGGTCGAGGAGGTGTCATCTTGCCCTGCCCGGGAGAAGACCAGGCAGGCTTTCTGAGGGGTCCCCTCTGCCTGTGTCCCCAAGCTCTGGGGAACTTGCTGACGACTCCAGCCTACCTTCTCTTCTCCAGGTGGAAACTCCCCAGACCCACTGGCACCTCCAGCCTTGGACTCACGTTCAATCAGCAGTCACAGAGCGAGCTGCTGGGCTAAGCACTTTCTGTGCCTCGTGTCTCCTGGTTTCTCAAAGGCCGCGCAGCCGCAGATGGTTGTGCAGCTGCCCACGGTTGGCACAGAAGGTTGGGAAGGAGATATTAGCACCTCTCCTCAGCAGAGACTGAGGATCGGAGGTGCCGGAGGCTCTATCAAGGTCCCCCAGCCAGACGCAGGATTTGACCCCAAGACGGGCTGTCTCCAGGAATAGTCTTCTTCCCATCCTGCCACAATGCCTCCTCCAGGAAGACCTCCCGGATTGATGCCACCCAGTCTGGTTGCTTCTTTATTCTGGACCCCCTGGAACAGATACGCTGTGAGTGTTTGCACAGTCAGGCAGGCTGCTCTGTGTGTGCTGGGTGGGTTCTCCCTCTTGTGGGCCAGCATCACTGTTACTTGCTCCTGGGGGATTTCCGTGGGCCCACTCATCCCCAGCCTGAATAGGGCGCCCATCTGGTCCCACAGTGGGAAGCACTTGCTGTGCACATGGCCCTGCGTTACCACTGCCTCCCCCACTGGCCGGGGGGTTCCTGAGAGGGAGACAGAGACGCAGACAGAATCTTCACTCTGCGTCTTCACCACCTACCTGCTCGGGGGCTGGTGCGAAGCCAGAGCAACGCAAAGGTGTGGGAAAGGACGTGGCTGTGACAAGGGCCACACCTGGCACAGCGCCTGGCCAACAGAGGAGCTCTCTGAAAATGGGTGAATCCGTTTAATCAGCCAATGAGCTGTCTGGGCAGGTGGGCATTTGCTGTCTTACAGACCCCTTAATGGGGGCCAAGGGAGCCACTGCACATTTCCCCCCACTCCTCCCCTCCCCTACTTTCTCCCCCTTCCCCTACCAAAGTCTCCTGCTGGAAAAAGGGGCTCCACCCTGCCAGCCTAGCCCTAACCCCTCAGGGGCACCTGAGGTTCTCCCGCTCTGTGGGGGCTGCAGGAGGGGGTAACCCACCTTCCTTTAGTCTCACCGTCTTGGGTTCCCCCCCAAAAACGCCAGCCCCAGTGCCCACACTCTGCCTTCTTCCCTTCCTCCCCAGCCTTTCCCTTCCCAGTAGCCCAGCTGGGCAAGGAGGACTCCAGACTCTCCCCCTGCTGAAAACCTTCAAGATTTAATAAACAGCTCCCTTCCGAGATGATTAAAGGCCAGCCCTGCCGGTAGCCAAATGCATGGGCCCCTCGGGGGACTCTTGGAGATTAAATGAGATGGTAGATATGAAAGCACCCCGTCAGGTATGAAATGCTATACAAATATTACTTCTAATTTATATAGGCAGCCACAGCCTGAGCTTTTAGAATTCCAGGCAGAAAGGGGCCGCTCGCTGGCCATTTGCAGGCCCGGCCTCGGCGCCGCCCCGTGGCCGCTTTGGGACAGCACACCCAGGGCGCGTGAGGGGGGGGGTGCTTCCCACGGCTCCCCACATGCCCGGTGCAGCTCCAGCCCTCCGACCCCCTGCTGGGACCCTCCCCCGGGCCCTCGGACAATGGCAGCAGTGATTTCCGCGGCCACCAGTCTCGGCCATCCCAACCCTGCCCCGCACGTCAGAGCCCAGTGGCCTGCAGCTGGCGAACTGGACGGTGCCCTGCGCTGCTCTCGCACCCGGGCTTCACGCCCTGCAGGGTGCGCCCTGCGCCCCTTTGTTTTCCGCGTTGTGGTGTATCAGCGCCACGGGGACCCTTCTGGCAAATGCAGCGCCCGGCTCCGCTCACAGAGGCCAGGGCCCCTCGGTCACCAGCCTTCACGGCCACACTGTGACCTTCGACCTTCGGAGCTCACCTTCCCCTGAAAAGGGGGGGGGGCCGTGTCCCCTGCAGGCTCCCCCCTTCGCTTCTCGGTAGCCACCGTTTATTGTGCAATCCATCCCCCCGGAGAAAGCCTTTGGCACTTGAACAAATTTGCCTCTGTGCTTCGTTGCTCCACGTCTGTGTGTTCCTTATTGTAGGACGCAAGGGGGTGAACACCTGTCTCCCTGGGGTCTCTGCCAAAAGGAGGCGCAGCCCCTCCTGCTGTCCCTGTCCCCTCCTGTAGGGCCTGCAGTGGGAAAAGGCACCAGGCATTCACTCAACAAATATTTCTGTGGACCTACTATGTGCGGGCATGACTTTGTCCAATTTAACCCTCCCTTCCTCCCTCCCTCCCTCCATCCCTTCCTCCCTCCCCATCTCTCCACCCCGTCACTCACTCATTCCTCCATCCCTTCATCAACCAATCCGCCCTTTAGAGAGTGAGCACAGACACTGCATCCAGCTTGAGAATCCTATGGTGTCAGCATTGAGCACCTACTGTGTGTGTGTATACATATATATATATATATATTGCATTTCAAGAACTTGAAATGTGGAAGCCCATTCTCACCTCCAAAGAAAAGTCAATACAAATGTATGACATTTAACACTGCTCAGTCTGTCGAGAGGTGCGTGAGAGCAGCTCTGCAGGAGTCGGAGGGGAGGGTCATGCCTGAAGGGGAGGTGGGAGCTGAGCCCTGGCGGGTGAGCAGGACCTGGTATCAGAGGGACAGCACCGCTCAGACCTGGAGTCAGGAAGCACCGGGCCCCTTACGAGGCCAGTAGATTAGGCTCAAAGGGCGATTGCATCAGCCCGAGATGGAGGAGGGCTGGCACAGCCGGGCGGAGGGTTTGGGAATGTCTCAGCTCAGGACTGAGGCACCCATCATTTTCAGACTGGACCCCAACCTTCAGACAATCTAAAATGTAGCCCCTGCCAAGGAACTTTTCCCACTATTAACACCCAGATGTGTCCGTAGCTACAGAAACATAGTGTGGCTTCTTTCAAAGGGCTCCCCAGTACAATTGGAGGAGTTCTGGGATCTCCCTGTTGGTTTTTCCTTCCCTGCACCCCAGGGCCCCCCTGGGAAGAGGCTCAGCCCAGGTTTGTCTAACGGAGGGAGATGGGTGGGTCAAGTTCACGGTCAAGTACTCTCTCTTTAAGTGTAATAAACGCACAAGGCGATTACATTCTGTTGTGCTGTTATTAAATTTGTGAGAAACAAATATAATAAAATGCAGACACTTGTAGAGAGGTTAAAAATAAAATAAAAGCAGAGGATGAAAATAAAATCGATAACCACGGCTTTCCCGGAGCCCTCCTGAAGAGACGGTATGTAAGAGTTGAGAGCAATTATGCACCAAGAAAATAAGATCGGCGTGGGCTGGAGGCGGGCAGGAGCCAAAGGGCAAAGGGAAGGAGCGCTGCCCTCCCCAAGCTGCCAGCCCACGGTCAAGTACTCAGCACCCTGGGCTCGGGTGCATCTGGGCCTCGTGGGTTTAAGTCCTGGCTTCTCCTCTCCCAGCTCCGACAAGCTCATGGGGCCTGTGGGTATGGGCTAAAATGTTGCTTTTGGAAGCATTTGCTTACTTTTATTGTGCACCAGTTCTTACAAGAATTGGAAGTGGCACGTGGCAAAGCTCCCTTAGATGGAAAAGAGGGCCCTGCTCGCTCGTGACAGATTAGATGTCTGTGGAAAAGGAGACCAGAAGGAAACGCGAGGAACCCCCAGAAAGAGGTTCTAAAATATCCATGAGAAGGTCCCTTCATTTAAATGAGAAAAATCTCTGCGTAGACGCCCAATGCACAGGTCGAGTGGTAGTAGCGGATATAAGTGTTAGGTCTTCAAGCTGCATCTAAAATAAAATCTAGCAAAGCCAAAGGGTTAGGGGTGGAAACGGGAACCGAGTGGAGGAGGGAGGCGGCCCATTACCTTCGTGGAGCTGCACTGTTCATCTCGGCCGCAAGGGGGCAGAAGTGGGAAGGACAAACGCCTACATGATTCTTGACCCTGTGCAGACACCGTCCCCGGTTTTCTCCGGGGGGAGGGTTTAACTGCCCGGAAACGGAAGCTTCGTTCTTTTTCGTCCTCTTCGTTTCCAGCCGCTTGCTGTAAGTGCCTGTTTCGCGGTACCCGGGGAATAGGGGGAGAATCTGAGGTAATCCACGGCCGGGTGAAATTTGCGGGCCCCCAGCCTGGGTCGAGGGTGCGAGGAAGGAGGGTGGAGTGCAATGAGGCCGGCATTTCGGGGGGTCGGGGAGGGAAAGCGGGGGTCGCTGTGGGTTCCCGCGCCCTGTTCACTCTAGGTCTGTCCTCCCCGCAGGTGCCCGCCGCACGCTCCCCGCGCCTCGCAGCCATGGTGAGTACGGGCCCTGCCTGGGG